GTCGGGTGGTGGCGGGTTTAACGGCACATTTATACCTACGCGAGACCTAACCCAACCCCCCCCCCCTCCCCACCTCTGTTATGGACACATGCAGCAATTTCATATTTTACCCATGGAATGTAAAAATGAGTCTTCAATGCTCTTTTTCAGGGGGTTCCTGCCATGTAAAGTCTGCTGAGTCCTTTTTTTGGGGGTTCGATCCAAATCGTCTCCAGCGGGAAGCAAACCTGAGTGCCCAGAACAAAAGGCCCGATGTACAACAAGCGGGCGGGGGGGGGGGGGCGGGGTGGATGACCCTAAACAAAAATCGACACAAGTCGATCAAAAACCCATTTTGGTGAACTGCCTCTCGCTAGGCCCCACCTCCAGGTCGGTATCCCGCACAGCACGATCGCTGTGCCTCCACGCAGCAAACCCCCGCACGGGATGTAGTAGATGGCAATGCCCCCCACCCCCCCACCCCCCCGTTCTTCAATGCCCCCTCCTCTTCGTACCCCAGGGCGCCCCGGCCAATCCGGTGACCTTGGTTTAGATGGGGGGGGGGGGGGGGGCGGGGGGCGGGGGTGGGGGCTGGTGCAAAATCCCGGGGTGGCACAAGACAGTGAAGGTGAAGCAAACGCGAAGCGCTCGAGAAGACCGAGCGACGGGCACGGTCCGTTCCGCGTCTTGTCCCCGTGCGCTCAGCGCTCGCTCTCTCAGCACGCTGCGTGTATGCGAGGAAAAGGCCGCGGCAGCCGTCGCTTGATTGCTGGTCAGTTTTTTTTTAAATCAACATTTTGACTTGATTGATTGTAACAATTCGGAAGGTGCGGGGTGGGGGGGGCGCTGAACGTAGCCCCCCCCCCCCGCTAGCCCCCCTACTGCTTTTCGACTGTCCTGGGCCCTGGGGTAGTTGCACCGCCTGCATACTCGATCACAACGCCACTGCTCAGCCTTAAGTTGCGTGCAAAACCACCAGTTCCTGAAGAACTGCACAGTGGTCATCTAGTCTTAAGTTGCCACCAATACATTGCAGCAAATGTGACCGACCGTCCGACCAACAGGCAGCAGTGTGATAGAGACCCGTTTCCTCATTAGTCGTGGACCGGTTTTCTCATTATTAGGACTCATCAGTAGAGCACAGTCATCGTTCTTCACTGCTGCCAATATCTTGCTTCTAGAGACCTCAATTTATAGAGTCCCCCCCCCCCACCACTTCTACATAAGCTCACCTGACGGCAACAATAATTAAAACCTGCCACTGATGGGGAGGAGACAAACAAAATCGTAACAGAGAGAATTAGTGCCGGACGAACAGCGAGGCCTTTGAGCGGCAACGCAAACGCTCCCGTTTGTCCCGGGCCTAGTCATGGGGAATATCTCATCAGCGAGCGATCTGAGCTACGCCGTTGGAGGATTTGTGCCGTCGGCCGAGCGCACCTGGCCGTGGGAGGACTGCCGTGAACGCCTGATGATGGACGGACGGAGGGGAAAATCCTGGGCAGAGTTGTTTGGGCAGGGAGAGCCGTGTCAACATTGTCCTGGCTAATTAATTCATTAAGCGAGGCATATATTTTCTTTACACACACACACACACGCCCGTATACATATTTATTCATTTTACGCGCCCAATGATATATTGCCCCAACGAGTAGGACACGAAGGTGCGTTTTACGACGCCAGGGGTTTCGGATGTGTTTAATGCGGTTATAAATGTGACAAACACGGCGAGCGGACAAGATGAGCGTGCGGCACGTAACGCCGCACGCAACGTGGCCGCCTCCCTGCGTGTGTGTGCGCGGGCGCGTGTACACGTGTGTGTGTGTTGTTACACGCGTGTACACGTGTGTGTGTGTGTTGTTACACGCGTGTACACGTGTGTGTGTTGTTACGCGCGTGTACACGTGTGTGTTTTTTACACGCGTGTACACGTGTGCGCGTGTGTGCGCCTGTGTCGCAGTGGGCAGGCGACGTATACACGGTGCGCCTCCATCAGGGTCGTTTAATGGGAAAGTGAAGACATAAATAAAACGTGTGAATACACACACACAGATATATGTTTTTACGCGGTGTGAGTATTGTGCTCGGTGCGTATTGTTTGCAATAACGCGCGTGTCCCCGTGCAAGCGGTTCCCTTTTTTGTATTCATTGAACTGAATGAGCCACTATAAAACATAGGCCACACAGCACATGCATATGCATGCGAGTGGTTTTAGAGTGCATGCATATGCCTCCTCTTTGTCATATGCCTGCACATATTGCACTGTACGCGTGTTCTGTATGATGCCTGTTTGTATACGCGTGTTACACAACGGGGTAGACGGAGAGGTGGCATAGTGATTGGCGCACTGCACGAACGAAACCGTCGGCCTGAGTTAAATTCCCGGTGAGCGGTAATCTGAACCGGTGCTTTCCACTCCACCTGCCCCCCTTCGCCAAACCCACATTGACCGGCGTGGTGAAGTATGGTTTAAACAACCTCATTGACCTACGGCAGGATGAGCAACCTTACATTCAGCAGTGGGTTGAATTTTTATTTTTGTATTTTTTTAGCTCGTGGTATGGAGAGCTTGGGTAACTTGGCCGGGGTGGCACTGCGGTTGTGAGTTCGAAACCCAGGCAAGAGCCGGTTCAGCCGATCGTCCTTCCAGCGTCGATACGATGAGTATCTTTTGCGTGAAAAATCAAGAGTGTGTATGTATGTTGCACTTCTTTCGCACCGTACGTAGCCACACTTTGCTAATCGGAGGTGACCATTGTACTAGAGGGACCGGCCCCCCCCCCCCCCGCCCCGCCCCGCCATAGGGAATGAGGGATTTTCACCACTGTCTCTCCCCGGACGAGCCGATGGGGACGATCCGCCCCACGTTCGACACGTACACGCCCAGGTCCTCAGAGCACTTGGACACACAAACACCGGTCGCTATCTACGTGCAGCGGCGCCGCGCGCAGAAACGCTCACATCCGTGCATTGCGTGGCGTCTCACCCCGTTGTGGTTTCTCGTTTAATTAGAGCGCTCGGGTTCCCAGAGTCCGTGCCCTCGTGTCGCGCAGGCACGGAGCGTTCTCACCTCCGCGTGCCCTGTCTGTACGTAGCGGCACGATTGCGCGAAAAGCCTACACGCCTGTGCGTGTGTTCGTGGCAGCTTTAACAGCGTTTTTTCGGACTTTGATTGACAAAAGCGATTTGCTTGGATTGGACTATCACCCCACGCAAGACCTTCTTTAAACTGCCCTGAGACTCGGTTGCGGCTTTTTGCGTGCATACAGAATTCCGATGATAAATAATATGAGTCCGTGTATAATTTTTCGATTTAAAGCTTTCGTGACTGCAAGGATTCATCTTCTTGGTTCTTTCGGTAAAGTCACGTAGGATGTGACTTTACCGAAAGAACCAAGAAGATGAATCCGTGTATAATAACTCGATTCCTTAGCGCACTCCTCACACATCTGGTGTATCGGCTGGCCCAGCGGTAGAGCGAGCGACGCACAATCAGAAGGTTGCGAGTTCAAATCCTGGTTGTGGGTTGACTCAGTCCATCATCCCCCTGGGGTCAATAAAATGCATGCCAGTTTTGGGGGGGGGGGGGGGGCGGTAAGTCAACAATGGTTTCTCTTTGCCTCAACTCACCCTCACCATAGGAACGAGGAATTTCCACCAGTGGCTCAGGGCTGTCAATTGGAGATGAGCATTGAGGTGGTAAATCACGTGCCTTTCTCTGTTTCCACCCCCACCCTGAATGCCTCCCTGCCCACTGCGAAAACAGACGCTGCTCCATGCAGCTCACTCCTTCCTTCTCTCTCTGTCCTCCCCTCTCATCATCATCATCATGTTCCGCCTCTCAGTCCCCACATCCTTGGCCCAGTCATTCATTCTACTCCCCCACGTCCCGTGCCTGTCTCGAGCTCCTCCCTTCTTCCTGCTGCTCATCTTGAGCCACGTGGCCCCTTTGTCTGTCCCAGGTCCCGTTTCACCGTTCCCCTGTCCGTGCATTTCCTCTTCTTTCTCATTATTTCTCTTCTTTCGTCCCTTTCCCATTACACTTTTCTTCGTTGGTTTATCATTTCATCGCCTCTACTCCCCCTCCTCCTGCGGTGTGCCACGGGTTCAAACAAAGAGTTTTATTTGTGCATAAAATCACTTCGACTTTGAGGCTGTCCACTGCCCGTAAATGCAGGGCGCTCGGGTACTGCTGTACCGCCCTTTATTCTCGCCTCGCAGCGTATTCGGATATAAAATGTTGCCCCCCTCTATGTAGCCCGGCGCCTGTGCCCCTCCGGCCCCCCGGAAGGGCCCCGTGGAGTTGCACTGCCCGCACACTCCTCGATAAGCTGCGCTGGTGTGCCGTGCGGTGCGTGGGGGATAATGCTGTCAACTGTTCCGTCCTCGCGTATGATGGCAGCAGCGATACGTTCCGCAGCTAAAATGCCAATGTCGAGGTCTGCTAGCCATGACGAGAGGGGGCTTCAGGAGCGAGAGCATTCGTGTAGGTCTCCTCCTCCTCCTCCATTGAAGCAGCACAGACTAGAGTGGGTTTACTATGCAATCTATAGCATTGGGTTTCATGGCGCACTGAAACTTGGACTACCCTCAACCGCTGGAGGACAGGCCTAGAGAAGATGCGGTGGCCACTTGCTCTACAAGTGGAGCGTGAGGGTGCAGCCAAAATTGTGGCCGTGGCGACCACCCGAGTCAGACGATGGCCTCACGTACCGAACTCCTGGCCCTGAGAGATCCATTCCCGGCGGCATCGCGACCGCTCTCTCTCTGCCTCGCCTGAAGCCGTTAAATGGATCGCTAACCTCGAACTGCTTCCTCAGCCATACAGAGGAGAAGAAGAAGAAGAAGATGATGGCATGGTCGCAGTCGCACACTGGTTTGTCATGTGTCTCTATGAATCTCTACGTATCTCTCTGCGTGCCTCCTTTAGGTTTACTGTGTACGGTTCATAGTTTGGGTTGCACGGCCAGTTGCAGGACCGTGGCTCGTCTTTGACTGCGGTTGTTTGTGCCGATTGCAGAAAACACGCGCTCAACTGCCATCGGATGAAGCCCGCGTTGTTCAGCGTGCTGTGCGAAATTAAAGAAAAGACAGGTAAGTCCGGGACACTTAGCGGTACGGCTTGCGAGCGTGTGTGCGTGTCTAAATGATATGTACCAGATGATTGATGCGATTGCCTTGCGCGTGCGCTGTCTTGACGGCTGATTGTATGTGTGTGTGTGTGAATGCGTGGTATGCGTGTATGGAAATATAATGGGGAGCGGTAGTGTAGCGGTTAGCTCGCTGCGCTATGTACGATTCCTGCTCACGGCCAACAACGGTGACGATTATCTGAACCGGTCCTGGGCCTCCCCAAGGTCGACTTGGCCTCAAATGAGTACCTGGTGTGGTGTGTAAACATCGCCACTGGGGAGACAAAGGCGGCCGGGCGTGGTGTTGGCCACCCACCCCCTCGTGTGCCGTGCCGGCCTTCGTATCATTCACACGAGATTGTGCTCCAAACCTTCTTTTAGCTCGTACCATTCCCAGCGATATGCATTATATTTACATTTGCGGTGTGCGCATGTGTTAACGTATGATAGTATAACTACACATTATATATCATTGCTAAATACATTTCCGGGACTGTGTGAGCAGCGGTGCGGGAAGAGAGGGCTGAGCATTTTACCACTATCATCATTAAATTAAAACATTGCAAAAAAAACACGTGTAATAAAAACATTAGCATATTACTTGTGCGTTTTTAAATATACGGAACCACATTTGTTATTGGCAATAGTCGTCACATTTTCAGCCAGCACGCTTTTACTATATTCTGCTATAAATTTGTTTATACATCTTTAAAAAAAAACATTGCTTAAAGTGTGTACGCAAACATACACAGAGTGATAAAAGTATGTGGTGTGACAGAGAGCGATGCATGCCCTTGATGAAGCTGTGTCATTTCTCAACATGGTCCCCTTGAAGTGCAATGCACTTGGTCCATCATCATTATCATCATCATCGATGTCCCAAGGCTTTTAATCCCCACCCGGACAAACTCTTTATCTCACTCGCTCACAGCTCACGTCGCTTCATCTCCGCTTGACTCAGTCACTTTCCCCACAAGTTGTTCCTTAACTGGAGAAATCGGGAAGGCAACGGGAGCTCGGTCCAGTGAGTATGAGTTTTCTCCAGATTTATTAGAAACAAAAATTCATAATTTTTGTACCATATTTCTCTGCATTTCTTCTCATTTCACACCAGATGTCTCTGGATTTCCTCTGATTTTAGACCAGATTTCTCTGGATTTACTATGATTTAACACCAGATTTCTCTGGATTTACTATGATTTTACACCAGATTTCTCTGGATTTACTATGATTTTTACACCAGATATTTGAATATCTTTAATATTTCACGAGCTTCTCAGGAATCCTCTCTCAATTTTGTCAAGATTTTTCTGAAGATATTTTTTTTCCTCCTCCATATGCACTTTATATGCACTTTTTTATTGAATGTAACAATTTCAAACACCTGTAACATGATAGTTAATCCACGACACTATTTATCTAAGCAGTCACCCTTTGTCGAAGGGCCCCTCCTTCTATGTCGGGCCACAGGCAGGCTTGATCGCCTCTTTTATCCGGCGTTGCATTTGCGTGTAAGCTGCTCGATGTTGCGGTAACAGCTGTAACAGGAACCCTTGCAGTAAATTTTTCAACGCAAGCTTTCGCGACCGGTATTATGATTCATAATTGTTTTTTTTTGGTCAGATCGCGGGAGTAAAATGTGTGTCGTACACTCTGCTCCACCCAACACAGCCGATTTCTATAAATCGCCCGTGGTTGGGTGGTGGAGGGTGTACGACACACACTGTTTACTCGTGCGATCTGACCCGCAAATCAATTATGAAACCATGCAATACACACAAACACACGCACAGATTTAAACTGCACGCAAAACAATACCTCCGGAATTCTTAGCTCTTTCGGTAAAGTCACGTTGAAGGGAAACAATAAAATAATAAAATGTATATAAAACAATTATTTTATTGTTTCCCTTCAACGTGACTTTACCTAAAGAGCTAAGAATATGAATTACTGCAGTCACGAAAGCTTTAAATTAAAATACCTCCGATATTAATATAAACGACGATAACACAATAAGAGAGAGAGAGATATTCACTTGCGGGTGCATTTTGCCACCGACACGCAAACACATTCTACGTCGGCCATAAGTTGACCAGCATTGGCCCCGGCGCGCGGGTACGTGGTGGCGTGATCGTGCGATGGTATCGCGACACGGCAGTGCGATACGCGGCAGGATCTCCTAAGCCGCGTCGTTTGAAACGCACCGCTCATTTGCATTAATTTCGAGGTCCTATCACGTGCAGAAGGCACGCATTTACTCAAGCATAAATCCACATCTATTAGATGTGGCACCATTATTAAGCTGCACACACTGTCCCTTGTATAGAATTAGCAAACAACATTCTGGTAAATGTCCTATCATGTTTCAAAACCCACACAGTGTCCATGTTATATATTTATATTTCTGCATATAAGCGAGCTGCATCCGTTTGTGTTTGCATAATGTGTTCGTGCACATACGAGTGTGTGCGTGTAATGTATAACATGCTGTGCGTACACACACACACACAGCCATTCTCACTCCACTGCTGTATGAAGATCTCCCCAGCACAATAATAAAATGTATCTGTAATCCCGGTCGCCCTCTGACGCCTTCATTACTCAGGTCTCATTTCGAACCCGTTGTAAAATATAAACCGCTCACGGTCGCCAACAAACAAACAAAAGCAGCCGCGACCAAATCCCCCACCGGCGGATGAAGGCTTCACGGCTGCCACTTGCCGCCATCCCTTACGCGGCCTCGCCGTGCGCGGGCCCCGCCGGCTCGGCACGTAACGTCATCGCCCCATCCATCCGCGGCGGTTTCGCTCGCGCGCGGCTCCCGTCCTTCGGCTGCCGTTCCGTCGCCAGTCTCCGCCTCGTCGGCCGCCGCCTCCGTTGTCGTCGTCGTCGCCTCCGGCCAGCGACGTGTCCTTCCGAAGCACGAAATTTATGTTCCTCGACGGTCAATGCGGACGCCTCTGGTTTGCGTTGTGGGTGAATCATTACCGCACCGCCCTGTTGTTGTTATGAAGTGCTGTCCTATTGAATGCGCGCTCGTGTGTTTTGACACCGCCACGTGAATTTGAAAACATGGTCGCAATTTATGTGTTTTATAGATGAGCTCTGTGGCTTGCGTGCGCGTGCCTGTGTGTGTACTGTGTGTGTATGCATGTTGAACTTCTTTCGCACCGTACGTAGTCAACCGTGCGAATCGGAGGTGCTACATATGGGGGTGGGGAGGGTGCCTACGAGCCCGTAAAACCTGAGTTTAATTCCCGCTCGCGGCGACAAAAATATCTGAACCGGTCCCGGGCCTCCCCTAGGTCAACTCAGCCTTAATTGAGTACCTTGTGTGGTGTGTAAATATCAGCACCTGGAGAGACAAAGGCTACCAGGAATGGCGTTGGCCACCCACCCCCTCGTGTGCCGAATCAGCCTGAGTAGGTGCTCGCTAACAGCACTTGACCCGACAGTCTGTTTAAGGCTATACGGGGAGCTCTGGTTGCCTAACAGCCCTCCGACTGAGCCAGGCAGTGGCTCGAGCAAAATACAAAACATGGTGGGGGTGGGGGTTTACGGTAACCTAGCCCATCATCTCTCTGCGGCGATAAAAAACAAAGTACCACTCTGGACAGTCACAAATTGCATCGTTCTACGGACGTACAGGCCTTCCTCGTGAGAATGTGTCACTTGTCAACGCTGGCTCAGGGTAGCTGACGGAGATGAGTTTGTCCGCATGTGTTCCATGGGAGCGTTGGGAGACATCCTCGAAAATTCTCGCCCAGACTCATTACCCTTCTTCTGCAAAGGGAAGCAACACGTGTGTGCCCGTGCAATTGCTCGGCACAGACACGCGCTCGGTCGCTTTACGGTGCGGTTTTGTAGCAATTTTAAAATCTTTATATCGGAGCTGGAGCAAACTACCCCGCAGTCGATGAACCGTATTTCGCGGGACGTCTTCACAACACTGCGTGGGCAATTTTCCTCCGCTGAAGCACCTCGCCGCATCATTTGTTTACGCATAAAAAACAGTTTTGTGTAATGCACGGACGCGCGTAAATACATTAGTCCCCGCGCTCATATCGGGGGCAGTAAACATCGTACCGTGACGTGTGGACGCCGCCGCCGGCCACAGGCCGGCCGTGCGATACAGGAACGAGGACTCCTGGCTGATTCACGATGGCATCGCACGCACGCGCGCGCGCACACACACAGTCGGCGGCATCGAGTCAAATCAAGCCGCGCCGTAGCCTCTTTCTGCTCGAAACGAGCTGCAAAGGTTCGTCGCTCCGTCTTTCATTTGCTCGGGCCCTTAAGCCGGCGCTGGACATTCTATATTTCCATGGCAGGGGCCCGCTGTCTGTTCCCTGGGATATAACGGCCAGACGACTCTGTAGAAATGCGGCGTGCGCCGTTTTGTATTGTTAGCCGCCAAAGAAATGTGCACGAGTGCGGTTGAACGACGGTTACCATTGCGAGCCGAGCCATCTCACTGCTGCGACACCTCAGAGCAGTGGGGAGCGGTAGTGTAGCGGTTAGCGCGCTGTGCTATGAACCCGGCGACTCGGGTTCGATTCCCACTCACGGCCAACAGCAGTGACGATTATCTAAACCGGTTCCTGGGCCTCCCCCAGGTCGACTCAGCCAGTGTGTAAATTTCGGCACCGGGGAGACAAAGGCTGGGCCACCCACCCCTTCGTGTACCATGCCGGCCTTCATAGGGGCTCGCTAACAGTACTTGCTGCTACAGATTTTGAAGGCTATACGGGGGATAGCCGGCGCCTAATTTGTGTGAAGATGCACTGGTGTGTCTCACCGTGTGTGTGTGTACGAGCGTGCATATTGACGCGACACGAAAAGCAAAACGAGGCTCCCCTCGCGAAGTGAACAATGTGCCGGCAATTACCGTTTACGATTTAATTGTTTGACAAGATGATCGTTGCACCTTGTCTTTGCGTACTCGCTGCTTATTATTATTAC